GCTACAAATTTTTCTTTTTATATAGCTTTTACTATATTTTACTACAACTCAGTAATTATTATATTTGATGCATCATATCGATTATTAATACAAATTAGTAACAAAATTATGCAAGTATTAAATTAAACTTTGCGTGCATAAACTTTACTGATTTAACTACGTACGTAGTACGGCTGCCAGGCACAGGTTGTGGTCACTTTTTTGATGCAGTTTTGGTTATTGGTTTACTTAGATATCAAGAATACTGTTTATGTAGTATGCGGATCAATATATACATGCTTAATATAATTGACTTTTATATAAGTAATCATACGATGCGTTATACGTAATATTAAATAAATTATGTAATCATAGTAAAAATATAGTACAAAAGTCTTCAATTGATAATTTAATAGTTTTTTTTCTTTCGACAAAGTGAAAGTGGTGCGTTGGATAAAAATAAGGTGTTAATACTGAACATTAGAAGAATATAAAACGTGAAATAAAGGAAATCTTACACTGTGAGTGGTTATTAGTAAGACGAGCAAGTGCTATAATTAGTATGGGTTTAGGCCTATCGGTTATTTATTAATTTGTGGCATTATATTACTATTGTGAGTCTTGACAATTATTAGTTTGTAAGATGCCAACGTGTTCTTCTTGTAATAAGTTCTTTGAAAGCCGGCAAGCATTGGGTAATCATATGAAAAAACATTTAGATGACAGCGAAGATGATTCACCTTCATCTAATCAACCGATTTATAGAACTTCCCAAAAATTAATTGAAATAACCACTAAATTTCTTAATGAGCAAAACATGTCTAAAAGACAAAACATACCTGAACAAACTGAAATAAGTAATAAAAGAACACAATTCGAATGCAACTTAGACGATAGTCAAGAAATGGATATTTTGAATGTAGATGAACCTAATATAAGAAAAGACCTTGATGTACAACTTTACAACCATAAAAGTGCTTACTTAAATTATAACGAATCTACTGAAGGACAAGACGTAGAATTTTTCGAATTTACTGAAGGACAAGATGTAGAATTTTTTAGTTCTGCAGATGATTCCCAAAGCAGTAACACATCTGATAATGAATACATAATGTCCGATCTGTCAGACACTACAGACATTGATGCTAATGAATATATTGAATATGATCATTTGTTTTCTGGAAAGTCAAAGGATTCCGAAGACATATATCAGGAATTCCCATCAGAGGAATACGCTGAATTTATGAATATAGTAACACGGTTCCGTGTGCAAGATTCACTTGCAAATATCTTTATAAGATTCTTCAATAAATACTCGAATCGTAACGATTACCCACTTCCAACAACATCGCAAGTTGGGAAAACTTTTATTGAAAATCTCAAACTTCCAGGCTTCGGATGGAGAAAAGAAGTTATTTATAAGTATGAAGGGTTAGAATACGTCCTTGAATTCAGGACTGTGCTTGAC